TGAATTCTCTCGAATGAAGTTTTTCGCCCATTGGACGCCACTTCCTTCTTTAGAAGATAACCAATTTGCTACTTGGACACGAATCCAAGTTAACACAGACTCCGGAGTGCACTTCTCAAACTGGTCTTGATTCCAGCAGTGCATCGTCGTTTCAATGACAGAGAGTCCATTGCTCAACAACCAGAAGTCGTCCAACGAGTGTGTGACACCCGGATAACTACTGAACTTGATGCTTTTCTCTCCAATAGCTTTGTCAAAGTATTTCATGTGATAATCCTTCATGATTCTGTTCATAGTAGTTGGTGACGACCATGTATCTTGTGCTACAAACAAGTCGGAATAATCCGGCAACAACTTAATCAGACCAGTGCAGTGACTGTGCAACTCATACCACTTGTCTGGGAATCTTGTGTGATTACCATGGTGGAATCCTTTCATTTCTGGCCACAAGCAGTGAGCCGCGATGTTCTGTAAATCTCCCAAATCGCCGTCTGAGTTCAAAATAAAGATGTCCGTCTCAGTCAATGGGAGGACGGGAAGTTTTCTCAAAGCGCCTTCTCTCACTCCAAATGTTTGTGCAAGGACCAGTCCAAGTGCTCTCGCCCATGGGTCATTCAATGATTGGTCTTCGACTATTTTCTTGTTGTAAGCAATGTTTCTATTGATGTATTGTAATGTGACATCGTCCCACTCTTCGACTATATTTTGTGCGCGTTGATTCGCCATACTATCTCGAATATTCCCCGCAGTCAAATAGCCTTCGACCATTCCCGCACACTTCGCTATTTGTTTATCCATATCGAGCGAGGTTGACTGTGCTGAGTTGATTCGCAAAAACCCCCAGCCGTGCTGAAAAAGTGTGTCTTTAAATGTACCCGTCGCAAGGTACGTCTTTGCAGTGTCAATTGGTGACTCGACTATATACTCATTGCCTTCCAAGTAACATCCGGCCTCGTACGTCCCTTCACCCAAGACAGTTCCTATGAAGAAGAGTAGCAACAGCATTCTACAATTTTTCAGTTTTTACAGTTCCTCTAAAAATCGAGTCAACTGGAATTATCTGACTCTTCGGTTTTTTCTTCAAAAAACTTCTTTCTTCCAGGTACCCTT